AAAAAAAAAAAAAAAGATCAGTGAACTTGAAGATGTAGCAATAGAAACCTAAATTAGAGCCAAGTAAGAAAATAAAGGCTAAAAAAAATAACAAAATAGGGCGGCACCTGTGGCTCAAAGGAGTAGGGCACCAGCCCCATATACCAGACGTGGTGGGTTCAAACCCAACCCCAGCCAAAAACTGCAAAAAAACAAACAAAAAATAGCCTATAGGACAGTGTCATATGGACTAATATACATGTAACTGGAATCCGAGGGAGAGAGTGGGAACATGAAAAAATACTAAAATGGCTGAAAGTCTTTCTTCCTTAACTGAAAAGGTAAACACATAGAACCAAGAAACTTAATGAACTCCTAGCAGGATAAACAAAATCATAATAAGGCACACGTTATAATCAAATTGCTGGGAGCCAATGATAAAGATAAAAATTTAGAGAAAAGACAGATTACATAGGAAGAAAGATCAGAATGTCCACTGATTTCTCATTAGAAATAATGCAAGCCTAAAGGCAATTCGAACGTTTGTGAAGCCCTAGAAGAAAAAAAAAAGTTAACCTAGTATGCTATACTCAAAAATACTCAAAAATTAAGGCTAAACAAAGACATTTTCATACAAAATCTGAAAAATGTTGTCACTAGCAAGCCTGTTGCTACAGTAAATGTTAAAGGAAGTTCTTCAAGCGAAAGTTATTTTACATGTAGAGTCAGATCTTTGAGGAATCCCACAAGTATGATGTGTTGTATTCTCATTTTCATTCAGTTCAATATATTTTTTCTGATTTCCTTTGTGATTTCCTGACCTACTGGATTTTTTAGAAGTGTTGTTATATTTCTGAATATTTTCCAGAGATCATTTTTTCTTCTCTAATTCTTTCAGATAGCATATACTATTTCAGTGCTTTTACATTTGAGACTGTTTTATGGCCCAACAGATATGGTTAATCTTGATAAATTTTCCAAACGTACTTGAAAAGATGTATGAGTAATAAACTCAGAATGTGTAACATTAGAAATGGCAGATATTTCCATTTATAATTTTTTAAAAGATAATTGACAATTTAGAGCAAAAATGTTAGCAGTTTGTTTAGGGGTTCATAACATGTAGAAGTGAGATGTATGAAACAAGACAACAGGAGGGGAGAATGTAGTATTAAGAACCTCACATTTTATATGAAGTATTGTTTGACAGTAACTTCTGATAAACTAAGGGTGAATATTTTAAACTCTAGAGCAGACAGCAAAAAATAAAGCAAGCCAATTGAGGAATAAAATGTAATACTAAAAAAATACTCAATCCAAAAGAGATCAGAGAAAGAGGGAAAAGATGGAAAACGGAGGAGGAAAGAAAAAGTAGGAATCAAATCAAAAGAGAGTACATATAAACCTGGGGTTTCTGGTAATTACGGTAATCGTAGATGGTCTTACTTTAAAGTCAGAGATAATCGGATTGGGCAAAGCAAAATACAGCTATATGCTTACCACAAGAAACTCATTTTGATTGTAAAAACGTGTAGATTAAAGGCAAATCAAAGAATGGAAAGGGTATATTATACAGACCATAATAAGAAAACTGGAGTGTCCATATTAATTTAATATAAAGTACACTTTGAGACAGGAACTGTTGCCAATGAGAAAGAGGTAATTTCGTTATGATTAAAAATCAATTCATCCAAAAGACTTAATGCTAAATATGTACCTACTAACAGTTCTTTGGAATACAGTAGAACCTCTGAAGGTTGACCACTCAAGGGACTAACAAACCGGACAACGTTGATAAGGAACTATGTTCCAAATATAAGGAACTAGGCTGTAGAAAGGGGGTCAACTGTGGCGGTTCTATTGTAACAAAAACTGAAGAAGAAATAAGCAAATCCACAATTGCAGTTGGAGATTTCAACACTTCCTTCTAAATAATTGATAGAACAACTTGTCAGAAAATCAGTTAGGATACAGAAGACTGGAACAACACAATCAACGAGCTGCCCTAAATGACGTTTATACAGCACCACAATAGCACTTTTCCAGTGTGGCTGGACAGTTTACCAAGATTAACCATATACTGGGCCATAAAATGACTCAATAAGTGTAAAAGCATTAAATGGTATAAATTATCTGACTGAACTAAGTTAGAAAAGAACAAAAAATGATTTCTGGCAAATTACCAGAAATTTAGAAATGAAATAACATTTCTAAAAACTCCAGTAGGTCAGGAAATCACAAAGGAAATTAGAAAATATGTTGAACTGAATGAAAATGAGAATACAACATGTCAAAACCTGTGGGATACACTAAAGAAAGCAAAATTTATAGATTTAAATGTTTTGATATAGAAAGCTTAAAATCAATAGATTTCTACCTTATGAAACTAGGAAAAGAAAGCAAGTTAAACCCAAAGTAATTGGAAGGAAATAATAAAGATAAGGGTACTAATCAGTAAATTAGAAATAATAGAATAAATCTTGACCTTACCTCTCACCATATGCAAAAATCCCACATGTATCATAGACCAAAATATAAAGCTCCAGACTTTCTAGAAGACTGTACTGGAGAAATACTTTATGACCTTGAAGCTGGGGAGATTTCTCAGGGCATTGACAGCAGTTAACCATGAAAGAAAAATCGGAATTGGATTTAAATTTTTAAACTGCTCTTTATAAGGTGTCATTAAGAAAATGAAGAGACAAATTACAGGCAGGAAGAAAATATACTTGAACATATTTTATCAAGATACTTGTATCCAGAATGTATTAAGAACACTGTACGGCTCGGCGCCTGTGGCTCAAGTGGCTAAGGCGCCAGCCACATACACCTAAGGTGGCGGGTTCAAATCCAGCCTGGACCCGCCAAACAACGATGGCTGCAACCAAAAAATGGCCAGGCGTTGTGGCGGGTGCCTGTGGTCCCAGCTACTTGAGAGGCTGAGGCAGGAGACTCGCTTGAGCCCAGGAGTTGGAAGTTGCTGTGAGCTGTGATCCCAAGGCACTCTACCCAGGGGGATAGCTTGAGGCTCCGTCTCAAAAAAAAAAAAAAAAGTAGAGTGGAGAGTCCCAAAATAGACTCTCACGTGGTCACTTGATTTTTGTCAAAGATGCCAAGATATTTCAATGGGTAGAGAATAATCTTTTCAACATACTGTGCTGGAACAACTAAATATATAGAAGGAAAAAAATCTTGACTTTACTCTATACACAAAATTATGTACTGTATGGCCCTACGTACATGAACTATTAGGAAGAATCTCAAATTTGTAGAAATAAAAAGCCAGAAATGGAATTTTTATTAAATTGTGTAGTTTGGTTGTCCCATAAAGTCTTTTATGAAAATGAGCTTCAATTCTTGTCTTAATACAGCTTAAGATACAGTACAGGGCAGGGAATAGAGCTTTGGAGCCAAGCAGGTATGCACATGAATCCCTAATCCCAGCTCTGTGAAGATATTTCATCTCACCAAGCCACATGCATAAACTATATGTGGAGAATTGTGCCTTTTTCTTAGAGTGGTCGTGAAGATAAGATGAAATAACCTGTGTCAAGTACCTAGCTCAAGTGCCTTGCACTTCATAGGCATTAAAATGATGCTAGGGAATAATAAAAGCAATATTACGCCTAGCGTATTTAAGTTACCTACGTTGCATTTCCAAAAGTTTAGTTAGAGTTCAAGAGAAAAGAATTCTTTTCTCACTTTAAATATTCAGAAATGTGTCTGAAATGTGTAGAGAAAAACTCGAGGTTAAACTTCTCCCATCATGCTCTGTATAATCAGCTTTTCCCCAAATATTCTGTGCATTTCACTCCAATGCTTTAAATTCATACCATTTCCCCAACCATGATCCATCCTACTTACCTAGTTACCTTTTCCAATGTCTTATGTCTATTTCATCTCATGTCAGCAACAAGGTTTAAACGCTGTTGTACTTCCTGACACCCAACATGATTAAGAATTACATAACTTGAAGTCGGATCTGGGTTTGAATTCTGGCTTACCACTTCCTAGTACATGACTATAGGCAAATTACTTAAACTTTCCAAGCCTCAGTTTCTTTATCTATAAATGAAAATAACTTTTATTATTTTAAAAATTAAATGAGAATCTTTAGAAAGTGCCTGATAATTTTAGTCACTAAAATAGTGTTTTGGTTGATTAATTGATACTGATCTTTACTTCAGTTTCCAGGAATATGGATCTACTGCAGCACCCCATGCTGATAGTGAATATGAGAGAAGAATGATGTCTGTATATAATCACGTCTTGGAGGAGGTAGAATCACTCAATCGGAAGTACACTCCTGTTTCTTACATGGTAAGTGGCGTTTGTTTTACTGAGCTTTTTTAATGTGGAAGAGGGTGTTTTTTTCCATGTGTCTGGCACTTACTGTGTGAGCTCAACACGTTAACCTCTCTGTACTTACTTCCTGATCTCTGAAATAGAGCTAATACAGTACCTACCTCATAGCATTGTGGTGGGGATTGAATGAGATAATCCATGAAAGCACTTAGCACTGTATCTGCTACATAGCCACATTAACACAGAAAATCTCTACTGGAATGAAGATTAAACTTTTTTTTTTCCCAACAGTTTAACTGAAGTTACAATAGTTCTCAGCCCTGGCTACATATTAGGGTCAATTTGGGAGCTTTTTTTTTTTTTTTTTTAATTTGAGAACTTTAAAAAAAAAAAAAAAAAAACATCAATATCCAGGCCTCACCCCAGACTAATTAACTTGGAATCTCTGGAACTGAAGCCCAGGCATTAGTACTTTTAAACACTCCCAGGTGATTCTGTCATGCTACCAGTGTTGAAAACCACTGGCCAACTGAAACAGAAAGAACTGGGTAGTTATCTGGCAGTGAATCAGTTCCTGCCAGGTGATGACATTAATGTCTTTTAATGTCTGTGGAACCTTCGGCCTGTGGAATCTCTGCTGCCCTTGGCACTGTTGTACACTCAGTTTTTATTAAATCTGCTCCCCCAGCTTCCCAGTCACAGGACAAATTGACACACTGTCACACAGATTTTCTCCTCCCTGCCTTACTATGTCCAGTGTCTCAGCAGAGACTGTTATAACAGAATACCACAGACTGGGTGGTTTAAACAAGAGACATTTATTTCTTACAGTTCCGGAAGTGGGGAAGTCCAGGATCAAGGTGCCAGTCTATTAAGTTTCTGGTGAGGGCTTTCTTCCTGGCCTTGGTGATAGCCACCTGCTGGCTGCGTCCTTACATGGTGGGGAAAGAGAGAGAGGGCTTAAGTCTTTTCCTCTTCTTTAAGGATACAATCTCCGAATACCATCACATTGGAGGTTAGAGCTTCCCACATGGAGCACAGATATTCAGTCCATAAAACCCGATATCTGAACTTTACACTTGGAGAGTTTCTCTTTCCCTGCTCACACATTAGATGCTGATATTCCCAGTTGCTGACTTCTGGCGTCTACTCTTCTCATTCTGTACTCTCCACCCCTTATCAAGAGTCTTAGAGTGAATTGGCAGGATCTGTCGTAAACGAGTTAGATTAGATTTAAGGATAGATAATTCCCTCAACACACTGCTCTCAGTAATATTTGCTGAATCCACACTGAGATTGGTTGGTTAGACAGACTATAAAGACTGTCTTTGAAGGAAATATACCTCTGTGAGACAGTGATTATTTTCATATCCCTTAAGCCCCACCCTAAGAAATTAAATAGATGCTAAACAGTAACTTCATTTTGATGGCTTTGAATCACTGAATATAGTGAAGAGAATGGAAGGTTTCTATCCAGGAGAAGACACAGAACAGAAAAGAGCGCTAGGTTCAGATTCTGGCTGTGCCATTCAGCAGGTCTGTGACTTTAGACAAATTACATTGACATCCTTTTATACAAAATGGAAAAAATACCTATTTCATAAGATTATTGTAACATTTAAATGAAATAATGCATATTCCCTACCCCAGTACCTGGCATATAAGGAGTGGTTAATAAAAGTTATGGTAGTTTTTTTTTCTCCATTTCCAACTTATATTTCATAGATTTGATACTTTTCTGAGCCCCCAGATTCAGTATATTAAGGATTTATTGGATACCAGGAATAGAAATATGACAAAGACACAAGGTCTTCCCTCAGGTTGTCCCTGGTCTAAGAAAGAAAGATTTTTTTTTTTTTTTTTTTGTAGTTTTTGGCCGGGGCTGGATTTGAACCCTCCAACCTCCGGCATATGGGGCTGGCGCCCTACTCCTTTGAGCCACAGGCGCCACCCAGAAAGAAAGATTTTATAAACAAATAACTACAATATATGTGCAGTAATAGAGTTCTGCACAAGGTAGAGATGTAGCATAAAAAAGAAAGTGAGTGATTTATGTTAAAGGATAGGGAAAATTAAGTCTGGGTGCAATTCAGAGAGAAGGTATCTTTGCGTATGAGTTTTCCAGACAGATAGGGGGTAGTGAATCTTAGGCAGAGACATGTTCAAAAGCAGACATGCCAAATTACGTGTTGCCTTTGAGAGCAGTGGTTACTGCTGCAGAGTGGCATACAGACTGAGAGTTGGAGAGGAGACTTGAGAGGCCGGCAGAGGCCAGATGACTACGGCTTTGAAAGCAGAATTCAGGAGTTTGGACTGTACCCTCAGGCACAGGGGGAACTTTTAAAAAATATTAAATGGGTGGGAAAAAGAAATGCTTAAGAAAAATTATATATTATTGTTATGTAAAAGCGGAATAGGTAATGGTACGAAGGGTATAAAATTAGAGAAAAGATAAATGGTTATAAGGCTTTTGCAGTAATCCAAAGTAAGGACCAAATTAATAAAATGGCAATAGGAATGAGAAAAACAGATGGATATAAGACATATTTAGAGGTAGTATTTTCAAGGCTTGAGTTTTATTTATTTTTTTAAGTTAGATATGAGGTGATGGAGACATGACTTCCAGTGACCAAACTTGATCCCTTACTGAGATGGAGACTATAGAGAGGTGGGGAAGAAGATGAGGTCTATTTTCAAACATGTAGCTGTCCTTAGGCAGTTGGATAATAAATAGGTCTGGATTGGAAGAAAGATGGGCCAGAATGCATGTAAGGTTGTCAAGAGCTCAGAGGTTCTTAAAAGTCATGGGGATAAAGAGAATTGTCTATGAAGAACATACAGATTGAAAGAAGATATTCAGCATTTAAGGAACAAACAAAAGAGGAAGATCTTAGGCAAGAATATGGAGAAAGGAAGGATCAGGGAAAATAGTGAGGGTAGGGACCGTTTGAGTGGAATTTCATGGAAGAACATATCAAGTGCCACAGAAACATTAGAAAATATACAAAGACTGAAAAGTACCTGTTAGATTGGACAATCAAGAGTGTTAGTCTTCCTGCTTGTTTACTAATTATGGTATGTAATTTCACATCTTCAGACAATTACTTTAATAGTGATCTGCTAACATACGTATGGAGGTGTACCCAAAGGCCTGTGGACCCCAGAGTCAGCCCACACTTTCCCACTGGGGGATTGTAAAATCTGCATTTATTCTTTTAAAAGGCAAAATGGCGGCTTTCTGCCTGGAAACAGCTTAAAGTCACTTGTGGTTTTCTAAAGTCTGTAAACACTATTGTGGCATCAAAGATCCAAGCACAGGTAGTATGTTCTTGCAGATGCTTTTCAGATTCCTTGATACAGGAAGATGAGTAGTGCTACTTTAACAGTTAAACCTAAATAGAACTGAAATAGAACCAGTGTCTGTAAATCTGTGTTGTGGTTATTGCAAGTCACAGACCTAGCATTTGTACTATGAGTCTGTTGGGCAAAAAGTGTTTAACTGCCTGAACCCAGTAGGAATGGATTTTTCTGGCTTTTAGCCTTAACACCCAGCTTTTAAAAAAGTGTTTACAGCATGAGCAGCTAGATGGCACCCTGCTTGGACAGGCCAAATACTACATAGTGCAGTGGTTTCCCACGGAGGAAAGTAGAGTGTCCCTGAGGAAGAGGATGATAGACCAAGCTGGAATGGTTCTGGTTCACCCAAAGTTAAGTGTTCTGCTTATGCTTTAATTGTTCTTCTATTAAGCTTGCAAATCATTGGTGAAATAGAACAAAATCAACAAAGAATTAAGCAATCTAGGTTCAAGTCCTAGCTTGTTCCATTACCAGTCTGTGACCTTGTGTTATCAACAAAATTGAGGATTAGACTGGGCAATTTTTAAAATATCTTTGAATATATTCTGATTCTGTTACTGCTTTCACTAAGATGCCACATCTAACAGATGCTTTTCATTCTTCCTGTTTCTATTCTTCTGCACTTAACTTTGATTTTTAAAAACCTTAAAATGTGTGAAGTAGATTTTAGAAATAAGATATTTTATTGGCTCGGCACCCACATACACCAAGGCTGGCAGATTTGAACCCAGCCCCAGCCAGCTAAACAACAATGACCACTGCAACAAAAAAATAGCCAGGCTTTGTGGCGGGCACCTGTAGTCCCAGCTACTTGGGAGGCTGAGGCAAGAGAATCACTTGTGCCTAAGAGTTTGAGGTTGCTGTGAGCTGTGACAGCACAGCACTCTACTGAGGGTGACAGCAGCTTGTTGTAAAAAAAAAAAAGATATTTTAATTTTAAGATTTCATAGAGGTAGACTATACAGTTAGTCATCTTTCATCTAAATTCTGGTCCACTGCCACCATTGCTTACTCTCTGAGAACTGATGCTATAGAGATAGAGAAGCCACTTAGTGGAGATGGGATGAAAGAATGACTCAGCTCAAAGCCAAAACTCCCTGCAGGATGTGGTGCCAGGCCTCAGACACTCAGATACTGCTCTGGCTTCTTTAACATGGTCTTTATTATACTCTGCCATATGATAATTACTCTATGTTTTAGTATGTAACATAATTATATAATAGTATGTCTGGTAACTCTAAGCACGCTAGTCCAAAATGCTAAATTTGCATATTGCTTGGCCTTCAAAAGGATATAGATTTTTCTCTTTTCTATCAATTATTTTTTATTTGAATATACTTCAAAATAAAGTAAAAATTTGTCATTGTACTTCTTGACATGAAAGATTTTATAGATAGACACAGTTCCTGGATGTTGTGTCATTTCCTGATTGGCATATATATTTGTACTGATCTATATGAGCATTTGTAGTTTGAAACTGAATGTACCGTTTATTGATGAAATTGAAAATTTATTATCATTTAATATTATTTCTTTTTTCCCGCCAGCATACAGCATGCCTCTGTAATGCCATCATTGCTTTGCTGAAAGTTCCCCTTTCATTTCAGAGATATTTTTTCCAGAAACTTCAGTCTACTAGCATCAAGGTAATGTAAGGAGAATACTACATTAATACAGGTTCATAATCTATCTTTTGAAGATTAAGTGGTACATAGCTATACTTCAGTATCTTATTTTTGATTTTCATAAAACTTAACAGCCTTTAGTTGTACACTTTCCTCCCTCTACTAAGTGGTTTTGTGAAGGAATGGGATTTGTGAGTTAACCTCCCTCCCTTTTTAACTATCAGTGCCAAATGCTGTGAGACAAGACATTTGGTTAACTGGGTTCTGTCACTTTTCTCTTACTTCCAGAAATAACTTAATGGGTTTTTACCGTAGTAGCCTATAAGGATTTTGAGCTGAGTCTTTGTCTGATCAGCCTATTCAGACCCAACTTAGGATTAATTAGGTCCAGTAAAACATCATCAGTCCTACCTCCAAAGCACTTTTGCCTTTGAATAACAAGTTTTGAGGAGTTGGCCTGGAAATAGAATTAGTATTATGAAATATTTAAGGCACTCAAAAGTCAAAAACTATTTTTGACTCAAAAAATGTAATTATTGGGAAAGGGGGAAAATTGTCACTTCTGAGAGATTTCTTGTATTGTTCCTATCAGTTAATGTCTTCAGTGAACTTTTGTATCCGTTCAGATGCTTTTAATTATAATAAAAGAGTATTCCATTTCAAAATTCCCTGAATAGTAGGAAAGCTTGATTATCTGGGTAAGAAGTCCTAAGATAGAGTGTCTCCAGGGTTCATTAGCTTAGTAGCCCAACAACATTATCAGAAAGATGGGTTTGTTCCATCTTCTCATTCAGCAAGACTTGAGCTTTCTGTAATTGATGAGCATTTGGACTCTTTCATACTTTTTCTTAAAAAATGCTTTAATGTGGCTCTGCGCCTGTGGCTCAAGCAGCTAAGGTGCCAGCCACATACACCTGAGCTGGCAGGTTCAAATCCAGCCTGGGCCCACCAAACAATAATGATGGCTGCAACCAAAAAATAGCTGGACGTTATGGTAGGCGCCTATAGTCCCAGCTACTTAGGAGGCAGAGGCAGGAAGACTTGCTTGAGCCCAGGAGTTGGAGGTTGCTGTGAGCTGTGATGCCAGGGCACTCTACCCAGGGCGACAGCTTGAGGCTTTGTCTCAAGAAAAAAAAAAATGCTTTAATGTGTGGGTGACATCTCTGGCTCAAAGGAGTAGGGCACTGGCCCCATATGCAGGAGGTGGTGGGTTCAAACCCAGCCCTGGCCAATAGCCAGGCATTGTGGTGGACACCTGTAGTCCCAGCTACTTGGGAGGCTGAGGCAGGAGAATCGCCTAAGCTCAGAAGTTAGAGGTTGCTATGAGCTGTGACTCTACAGCACTCTACCAAGGGCAATAAAGTGAGACACTGTCTCTAAAAAAAAAAAAAACACTAGCTCTTGCCAAAAACTGCAAAAAAAAATGCTTTAATGTGGGTAGCGCCTGTGGCTCAAGCGGCTAAGGTGCCAGCCACATACACCTGAGCTGGCAGGTTCAAATCCAGCCTGGGCCCACCAAACAATAATGATGGCTGCAACCAAAAAATAGCCGGGTATTGTGGCAGGTGCCTATAGTCTCAGCTATGTGGGAGGCAGAGGCAGGAAGACTCGCTTGAGCCCAGGAGTTGGAGGTTGCTGTGAGCTGTGATGCCAGGGCACTCTACCCAGGGCGACAGCTTGAGGCTTTGTCTCAAAAAAAAAAAAAATGCTTTAATGTGTGAGTGACACCTCTGGCTCAAAGGAGTAGGGCACCAGCCCCATATGCTGGAGGTGGTGGGTTCAAACCCAGCCCTGGCCAATAGCCGGGCATTGTGGTGGACGCCTGTAGTTCCAGCTACTTGGGAGGCTGAGGCAGGAGAATCGCCTAAGCTCAGAAGTTAGAGGTTGCTATGAGCTGTGACTCTACAGTACTCTACCAAGGGCAATAAAGTAAGACTCTGTCTCTAAAAAAAAAAAAAACACTAGCTCTTGCCAAAAACTGCAAAAAAAATGCTTTAATGTGGGCGGTGCCTGTGGCTTAGTGGGTAGGGTGCCAGCCCTATATATTGAGGGTGGCAGGTTCAAACCCGGGCCCAGACCAAACTGCAACAAAAAAATAGCTGGGTGTTGTGGCAGGCACCTGTAGTCCCAGCTACTTGGGAGGCTAAGGCAAGAAAATCTCCTAAGCCCAAGAGTTAGAGGTTGCTGTGAGCTATGTGACGCCACGGCACTCTACCCAGGGCGACAAAGTGAGACTCTGTCTCTACAAAAAAAAATGCTTTAATGAGAGGTTTAAAATGTCATTTGATGTTCATTTATGGAATTTGACTTTTTTATACTATAGTGATTTTATTGTGTAGGTAATTGTAGAATTTTAAGTTCATTTACATTTGAATTTAGTCCATTGAAAATTACCTAAGACCAAAGAGGTGGCAGCCAGACATGAAAATTTATGTACTGCATTTCTCTACTAGAAGTGGTTAATTGTCAAAGAAATGCCCCACCAGAAAAACTGGAACTGTGCCTTTGCTATTTTCTGATTTCTTTATTACCCACAGACAGAACTGAGATTTAAGATGAGAAACAGTGGGGCTGGGCTGGGCGCCCATAGCTCAGCAGTTAGGGCACCAGCCACATACACTGGAGCTAGCGGGTTCCAACCTGGCCTGGGTCAGCTAATCAACAATGACGACTACAATAAAAAAAAAAAAAAAGAAAATAGCCGAGCATTGTGGTGGACTCCTGTAGTCCCATTTACTTGAGAGGCTGAGGCAAGAGAATTGCTTAAGCCCAAGAGCTGGAAGTTGCTGTGAGCTATGATGCCACAACACTCTACCAAGTGCCACACAGTAAGTCTCCGTCTCAAAAAAAAAAAAAGAATGAAAGAAAAACAGTGGTATTTAAAAAGAGGCATTAGGGGTACAGAAGCTATACTTTCAAGGTACACCTGCCTGGTTGGCCCTGCATAGTTGTGTCATTGGGGGCGGGGTGTACACATGGGAACGTGTTCACCTGTAACCAATGATTAGCACAGACATGTTCATCAAAAGGAAGCTTGCTCTTGGTTGTTGACATTTATTTTCATGTTGGCATTCCAGCTTGCTCTGTCACCATCCCCCCGGAACCCTGCAGAACCCATCGCTGTCCAAAATAATCAGCATCTGGCACTCAAAGTAGAGGGAGTGGTTCAGCACGGATCTAAACCAGGACTCTTTCGCAAAATTCAGTCTGTCTGTCTGAATGTTTCTTCTACACTACAGAGTAAATCTGGACAAGACTACAAGGTAATTGAGAAAAGAGGCAGAGTTGTGATACAGATTTTATGAACTCATTGACAGAAGTTTTCCATTGTTTTTCACAGTTAAGCAGATTGCGATTACACTTTCAAAATGATTAGATGGACATAAATTAACAGCACATATTGAAGTTTGAGGAGCTAATGAATTACATTTCTCTTTTCCCTGCCTGGGTCTGTTAATACAGAGACAAAGCATGCAGGCAGGCAGAGATCAAAATATGAGTTTTATTATTAGTAGAGCTGTGGGAAAACGTAATTCAGGTGCCTGGCAGCAAGGACTTCCTAACTTTAGACTTCCAAATTGAATTTTCCTACCCAGCCTCAGCCAGTACCTATGAGAGCCTGCCCTTTCTAGAGTTTATGGCAGGGAGGAGTACCCTGATGCCCAAAGAAGGGAGAGAGAAGGTACTTGCCTTCCCATGCCTAGTTTCTGCCCTGAAATTTACCTACCCATCTATAAGACTCATCTCCTCCCCCTGGAGGCCAGTACAGTTAATCTAATGAAAGGTCCCTCCCCATGGAGGGAACATCAGGAGTGTCTCTCTAACCCACCCAGCCTCTTCCCCTAAAAAGTATACTTCTATTTTTCTCTTAACTTAAATAAATGTTAGCATTTTTTAAAATTTATATAGCATTAATATATAATGGTGAGATAAAGCAAAATCTTTCCATATGGGTGTAACCCTAGAGATTTGCTGCTTTAAGAAGTCATAAAGTATGGGCAGTGCCTGTGGCTCAAGGAGTAGGGCGCTGGCCCCATGTGCTGGAGGTGGCAGGTTCAGACCCAGCCCCGGCCAAAAAAAAAAAAGTCATAAAGTAGGTAAGTAGTAACCAAAATCAATCTTACATTGTTAGCCAGAGCTAAGATGCTAAATCTGTGCCCATGAAATACAAATGTTCTAAATATAGAATGTCCCTTTCTTTAGAAGTTTCTTTCCAATTCCCTGGTGGTTTAGCCACAGTAAATGGAGCAGCAAAGAACCAGTTCACAATTGGATGAGCAAAATTATTCAGATGCCCAGATTAGTGGTGTCCAGTTTTTTTGTAGCATGTTGGAACTAAGGTACCATAGCAAACAAGGAGTTATCAGTGAAAGTATAAAAAGAGAGCATTTAATTCTCTTCAGTGGTTTTAGGCTAAAAAGCCAAGGGAAGGCCTGGTTTAAGTCATTATTACTTTCTTAACTTTGATAACTTCCTCTCTCTGGTAGACTGTCCATAACAAAGCTCACCCTTCATTCTCTTCTCTTCTCCTTTGACTTCTGTGACACAAACCACAATGCCTTGTATAGCTACTCAATAAATATTTTGTGAATGATGAGGAAAAAAATTTACTATATGGTATGGTTGGCTAATCTCTGCTGTCACAGAAGGTTGCAATGAGAATTTACATAGTTAACTTATACACTTCTGCAGCCTCTCCCCACTTTGAGTTTGAAACAGTAGACATGTTCTCTACATTTCTTATGTATAATTTCTGCTGTTAAGAAAAAAACATTTAAACCTAGAAGCGCTGGTCTTCTGCTTGTCAACACCTCTCAAGCATTGATTAAAGTCTGGAAGTTGATACAACAAGCCATGTAGTACATGATTAATTTGCAGTGTTGCTAACAGTGAGTTTGCAACTTAAAA